GTGGGGGCGTGTTAGAACGAGCCGTTTTAGGTAGGTGTGGCTGACTCTTAACTTTTATAAAGAATATCTCTTTGGATTTGAGACTTTAGTCTTTGCAACTTTACAGATTTTCTTTATGCACCAAGAGCTTGTAACACTTCAAAAAGAAAGGAAAAATTTTTATCGCATCATATGACCCCTTTAAAATAATCTAAATTAAAATGTAAAAAAAATTTTAAAAAAAATTTTTTTAAATGAAATATTTTTTTATTTATATTCATTACAACTAAAGTACCAGAAATACATATCAGCTTAGATATGAGGGAATTATTTTGGACTAAGGGCCTTGGAGTCAAAAATGCTAAGAACCACTGCAAAATAAAAAGATTTGTAGAGGACAGGAAAGGAATTCCAATGAACTGATTTCTATGCCATTACAAATATTGTACCGTATACTATACACTTCAGAGAACAAGCAAGGTAACAACTGATTCATGAGACACTGCAGCTGTATGAAAATCTATGCTTTACATAAAGTGTACAGCTGGAATCAGGGCTAAATGCGTAAGCACTACTCCATTCATGGAAACATTGTCATCTGCTTCTCTTGGTCAGTAGCTGTGGTTGGAGGTGTAAGTACAGAGATAAATAAGGCCTGTAATATGAGCACATGCATGCTGATGTAACAACCCCAAGTTGCCCTCTGTATGGCTGATGAAGCAGCATTAGAGCTTCCAGAGAAGTCCACCCGGAACAGAGCCATGATTGAGTCTATTATCTATGGAAAATTAATTGTTGATGGCCACAAGATTAAGTAAAATCACTTCCCAAAAATCAAACCTTAGAAAGTGTCTTTCTTCTATCTTACCAAAAGCTTGAAGACACCTCCTTCCTCGTGGAACTTGGCTGCAACAAAGTCTAACAGTTCCATCTGATGCTCACCTATGAATGAAAAACACTTTTTGGGAACTCATTGGCTAGCCTGTTAAACTCCAAAGTAAAACAAAATTTCTAAACTTTAAGTAAAAAAGTTCTGAGAGGCAAGTTCTTACTCGTATATGCACGTGCATATAGCACATTATCCAGTACAGCTTCATGATCCACGTGGAATCTGTCAGCTATGTCCTTCAGCCTCTCAGGCCGACTGGTGTTCACAATTATTAAGGAGAAAAAAGTTCAATATGGCTTTTCCATATTGAATAGGATTAGTAAAATTAATGTGACACAAAGCAAGCAAATGCAGAAATGATACAAGGTGTTTTCAGAATCGATGAAGACGACCTTTCCTCCGGTGTACCCATATTCACCAGGAAGCTGAGCGGTTACTTAAGAAAAACAGAAATGGAGTGACATTAATGGTCTAAAAATGCAGAAAAGCAGTCTAGCTTGAACATACCCACTGGTTCTGAGATCTCCATGCTGGCCACTGGATCGGTGCCTGCGGACAGAGATAGAGGGGGGTGATGACTGGATAACATTAGATTATAATGTTATAAATCTGTTTTTAAGAATTGTAGACAACTTAATTGGGTTGTTTAAATCACTATTGTGACAAAAGTGGACTAGATATCATTTCAATGTACAAACAGAAAATGTTGACCGTAATATTTACAGTTTTCCCAAAGCTGGTGTTAACATTACCCACTGTAATTTACAGAATAATCTACATAACCTGAAACAGACAATTATCAGCAAGTCATCTGTCTGTTATTATTTGTAGTATTAACAATTGCAGGAGAGTTGGTCATGTGACATCAACAGCGCAGCACCCATGAGGAGGCGACCCGCTTCTGTGTAGAATAAAACAGCTGGAATAGTGATAACTAGGGTCTTCTTTCATGTAAATACACATCATTTTAATGATATTAAAAGGGTTGCTCATTAATTTACGTGTAAAACATTTTAATAAGGAAATTATTACTATCATGTATTAATAGAATCAATGAAGGGGAGAAACAGGAAATATCCTGGTGTGAAGTCAGCGGCTAAACTGGCCACGCAAGGCTAGCCGGGTATTAGTTCATGACAGATCAACAATGTGTATTGAAGTGCACTAAATCAACATTTTATGAAGTAGTAAGTACAACTGGCTAGATACAATAAAAATATCTTCACTCGACTATGGTAAACACAGCGCTCAACTAACCACTACCATCTCTCCGGTTAGCCTGCTATAAACATTTCCAGCTAAAAGCCCTTTTATGGGCAGACCTTAATGCTGTCAGTCGGTTTATTAACGCTGTCAGTTTACCATCAGACGTGGCGTTTTCCGGCGGATCTCGGGAAAGAAAGGATGGTACGAATTCCGGAGCGTTTACGTTGAGCCCGGTGAAGGCGGACTGAAGTTCGGTATTTAACATTTCCACAAGATCCATTTTTGCTCTTACCACACAGTGTATGAGAGAGTTGAGTCTTTCCAGTTCTGAATTCTAAATGAGGCATGGGAAACGATTTATAAAAACATGTAATTTTGGCAGAACTAATGTAAAGAAAATGCATAACATATCATTTTGGTTCGTAATCATAACAGCACCCTACCACCAAAAGCCTCAGTAATAGCCATACTCTCCACACCACCTCCGAGGAGTTTGCTGAACAAAATATGAATAAAGCATTTCTGCTGTCATGTGACTTTTATCAGACAAAATGTTAAACCCTTCTTTAGTACGGAGCTCCATACATGATGTAGGAAATATGGATTTTGTGGCCACGAATTAAGAATTTGTTCCCACAACTTACTGTGTGGCCATGTTTTATTAATTCCTTCCCTTCTTTTAGTTAAATCGTGGCCACAATATCTAGTTTTGTTTCCTCCACATCATCTGTGGGGCTTCGTATTTTAGGGCTATAAACAGGATGTTATTTCTTACTCAAACTCCAAACTGCCTGTTGTGATGTGGAACACTTGCTTCCTTTTTACACTGTATTCAGATGCTGTCTGAAATCCACATATCTGCATGCAAGAAGACAACATTTTATGATGAGCCCGGTGAAGGCGGACTGAAGTTCGGTATCAGCCGTGGCCTCAACATCGTCCTCCTGTTCCCACGAATCAGGGGCTGTCTCTCTCGAGTCCATAGTGGCTTTAACACGAATAGCTAGCGGGTTGCGCTTTAACCCCCGAGGCGGGTTTGACCAAAATCAAATCTGTTTTTTCAGTATTTATTCCAGGTAAATTGAGGGATTGGGGAACTCGTAAATGTGCTGAAATGGTGCATGAGGCGCCTAGTCTTCATGCGACACCATGGACGTGTAGCTAGTTAGCTGATCCTGGATCTTGCATGCGCGCAGTGCAGAAACGTGGACTGTGAAAGCAGCGACCGTGTATTAATAGCCACATCAACAGCTTTTCAAATTAAGGCCATTATGGTAATGCAATGGTAAACTACAGCGTTCAGAAAGGCAAATATACTATTAACAGTAAATACCTGAAAACAAGTTTTTATTCAACCGTTTTTAATTGAATTAAATTAGCATTGTATAAATAAATAATACTGTACCATTAAGATTTCGCAATACATAAACAGCTGTGTAGTTTATAAATACAATGTATAAACAGATAGGTAAACATGTAAATAAATATACAACTGGTTATGGTTCAATCCGAACAGATTCCATCAAGAACAAACTGGAGGCATTGAGGTAGTGGGGAACTTGTAACATGCTAAGTAATATGCATTCTGTGCAGATTTTAGTCTTTGGCATCTGTTATTCCTCCAGCTGTGATGGCAAAAGTAGCCTCACTTTCTGGCATGTCTGGGCTGTAGAAAAGCAGAGGGTTTTATTGATGCAAGCATTTCAATAAAAAGATAATCATATATTATCACTGTCTAAATATACAAATATATTTACCTAACAGTTTTAATGTATGGATAAATTGTGCATTGTATGTGTTCCCCTTAGTTGAGAAATAAAAAGAGAAAATGGTAACACTTTACAATAAGGTTCCATTTGCTGGCATTAGTTAACTACATTAGTTAACATGAACTTACAATGTAGTGACAAAAATACCTTAAAGCATTTATTTATCTTAGTTAACATTTACTAATACAATATTAAAATGAAAAGTTGTATTTGTTAATATTATTTAATGGACCATGAACTAACAATGAACGGTTGTATATTTATTAACTTTAACAGATGAATAAATACTGTAACAAATGTAATGCTGTTGTTAGTTAATGCATTACTTAAGTAATGGGACCTTACTGTAAAGTGTTACTGAGAAAATCTTGAAATTACCTATCAAATATTTTGGCAATTCTCAATTCAGCACGTCCTTTCCTCAGGCTGATGCGTGTGGTGGAGGCATGAGCCAGTATGTGTCCTCCGATGGGCTTTTTGGGATCTGCTTGAAATCTAAAATCATAATAATCAGTTTAAAAATCCCCAACATTCTCTTTCCGTTTTGTTTTGTGTTCCTACTTACGTCATTCCAGCTCCTGGATCTGCAGTCATCTGGTTGGTAACAAACACTGCAACGTTGTACTCTATATCCAACAAATGAGATACTACTAATTAAATGAAAGTCAGAAAATAAAGTGAACATGTCAAAATCAAGAGCTTACTTAACTAAAGATAAGACTGACTAGCCTGTATTCAGATGCTGTCTGAAATCCACATATCTGCATGCAAGAAGACAACATTTTATGAATGCACAATACATAAATTCAATATCCTTCATCAAATAAATGTGTTCCAGGAAGCCACATCAAATTACCAGCAATTTTCCAGCAGCTTCCTTTATTTTGTCGACTTTAGCCTCAGACAGTCCCTTTACATTACAGAGAGCACGGCGTGTGGTCATCTGGATGCCTTTCACAGTACAAATGCCCACAGACTTCAGTTTCTTAATGTCAGCCACGTTCTTAAGATAGAGGGATACGAATCAGAGCCACCGTCATGATGACATTTTCATAACTTTAATAACTTTATAATAACATTATCACTTACAATTCCATGCTTCTGTAGGAGATCAATGTCTTGAAAAAAGGATTCCTAAGGGGGGAATTTATAGGACATTTTTCATCATGTTACATACAACGTAAACGGGTCAGTGACAAAAAGGGGTTGGCAAAATGAGAAATTCAAAAATCTTTTAAAAACTTGGTTTTAAAAGCATGCATCAGGTATTTTAAAATGTACACCGCGTTTATGTTGATTTTATGTAATTAAAAATGACATATGAACCATTTTTTACAAAAGTTAAAACTGAATGTACATGAAAATGTCAAATGGTGTAACCGCCAAATGAGAACTATTAAATATTTTATCCACCTAGATGGCATGTAAGCTAACTCATAGAAATAAATACTTCATTTATTAGTTTATTATTATTAGTTAGCTCTAAATGTAAATTTGCGGGACATATGCTGAAAACACCTCTGTTTTCTAAATAATCTTTTACAAATTATGTAAAAAAAATATTAAAAACCATATTATTATACTAAACTAGATAATTACATTTTATTCCACATTAATGTTCCTGTATATAATTATATTCTTATGAAAAATACTGGTTACACCAATTGACACAAACCAGTTACACCACTTGACCAAGTTGCTTCTACAGCCAAAGGCCATTGTTTGTTTAGCTGAAGTGCTTTTTTTCCCAATGCATAAAAAAATAAACAATCTGGCAACACGAAATTATCATAGTGATGAACAGTGAACTCATGTCTCATATTGCAATTACATTTAAGAAACAATATCTGACAAGAAATCATCACAGTGATGAACAGTGATCTCGTCTCGTATTGTAATTACAGTTAAGAAACAATATCTGACAAGAAATCATCACAGTGATGAACAGTGATCTCGTCTCGTATTGTAATTACAGTTAAGAAACAATATCTGACAAGAAATCATCAGAATGATGAACAGTGAACTCATGTCTTGTATTGTAATTTTAATTTTCTTATTGTAATTTCATACTGTATTGTGGCATCTATTGGGGGAAAAGGGGCTCTGTTATATCATATTAATTATAAAATATCAGAAATTTAATGAATTGTATTTTACAGATGTAAATTTTAATCTTTGGTTAACATTTTTTTTATCAGTGAATTTATGTTCTAAAGTAGACACCCACTTCCTTCTGCTACATTATGTATATATTACGTTATATTATATGATACTATATATTGCTTAAAGGGATAGTTCACCCAAAAATGAAAATTGCCCCAAGACCCCCCCCCACCTTTAAGCCATCCTAGGTGTATATGACTTTCTTCTTTCAAATGAATACAATTGGAGTGACATTAAAAGTGAATGGGTGATATTCAATAGTCCAATAAACTGCATCCATCCATCATACAAAAGTGCTCCAGACGGCGCCAGGTGGTTAATAAAGGCCTCCTGAAGCGAATCAATGCACTTTTTGTCGTACATGCGTTCACGAGAAAGTGGCATTCCAGCGGATGATGTAGGACGTAGACGTAGCGTAAGCACTGGTGAGAATATGCTAGTCTCGCGAGAACCAAGTTTTGTTTACAGCAAAGGAAAACCAATCTCCTTTTGGCTTGTATTGAAATCCTTTGACATTTTTCTTTAACCGGTGTTTTGTTTTGCTCTCTCCTCTATGATTCAGTGTTCGTCACTTCTCACCAGAGCTTACGCTACGCCTACATCCTACGTCATCCACTGGAACGCCACTCTCTCGTGAAAGCGCGTATGACAGTTAGTGGAAGCTAGAGATTACTGTTTATAAAGTTTTAAATATGGATATTTTGCTTACAAAAGCGCATTGATTCGCTTCAGGAGGCCTTTATTAACCCCCAGAGCCATCTGGAACTATTTTTTATGATGGATGGATGCAGTTTATTGGACTTCTATTGGACTATTGAATATCACCCATTCACTGCCATTATAATGCTTGGAAGAGCCAGGACATTTTACATCGCTGATTGTGTATTCGTCTGAAAGAAGAAAGTCATATGCACCTTGGATGGCTTGAAGGTGAGTAAATCATGGGGTAATTTTCATTCTTGGGTGAATTAGGCCTATCCCTTTAAAATATTGTGAATGGAATAATAATAAGTGAATGGAATAGAAATATGCATTAAAGGGGTCATATGATGCGATTTCAAGTTTTCCTTTCTCTTTGGAGTGTTACAAGCTGATTGTGCATAGATAAGATCCCTGAAGTTGCAAAGACTAAAGTCTCAAAACCAGAGATATTCTTTATCAAAGTTAAGACTCTGCCACGCCCCCCTAAAACGGCTCATTCTAACACGCCCCCACATATCTACCACACTATATGGAAATATTTGCATAATGCCACCCAAATGTTCACGCAAAGAAAGAACGCGTGGTTTCAGTAACCGCAGTTAGTGTTGAAGCAGCCATGTCAGGGAGACGCTGTGTGTTTCAGTGCGAAAGCAAAAGCACTTTATTTGGATCACTTACAACAGAACAGCAATGCATTTTATGGACGACCGTTCCGTGAACCTAGGAGAGGAGGTAATTCTGACTTTACTATGACAATCTGGCGCTTCTGAATCAGCTACTGTAAGTATGTTTTGTTATTAGTTTAAGTATTTGCTATTGACTGTTCAAATGCGGAGTTTTGCGCATCGTGTGTGCGTGCGCGCGTGTGTGTGAGAGAGAGAGAGAGCGAGAGAGAGAGAGAGAGAGAGAGAGAGAGAGAGAGAGAGAGAGAGAGGGTCACATCACAGAGTCAGCTGTCTTAACCGTGGCTTGTGTACTGCAAACACATACCAGCTTCATCACTGTGTCTGTCACGCGACTCTGTTCCCCTTTCGGGCTTGAACTGATGGTAAAACTAATGACATTATTTACTGTCTTTACATTTATTTTGAAAGATGAAGCTCGCGATTATGGTAAGGGGCGTTACATTTCCGACGAGTGCTTGCGGTGTTCGGCCAATCACAATGCACTGGGTCAGCTGGCCAATCAGAGCAGACTGCGCTTGTCGGAAGGAGGGACTTTGTAGAAAACGAAGCGTTTGAGAGAGGCGGGGCATAGAGGACCTACAATAATGTACAGTATTTGAAAAATAATGTGTTTTTTGAACATTAAAGCATGTCAACATATTCTGTTACACCAAATACACAAAATAATGATCTTTAAAAAAGCATCATATGACCCCTTTAAAGCTAAACATTACAAAAACACTAATGTTGTGCAACATAATTATTTTATCCTAGACTTACAGAGCTTTAATAATAAAGCTGTAGATAAAGAACCACTTTCTCAAAAAATATAAAATTAAACACTTGAAAATAGTTTCAAATAGTAGGTTAGTTTATATTACATCTCAAATGGAGTCAAATGGTGTAACCGGTTAAGCTGCCTTTCCACTGCACACGACATTCGGACACGACTGTCGCATTTTTCCCCCTAGTGGCAGTCGCACAGAACTTTCAAACCGGTCGTGCAGCAACCATTACCTTGGCATATTCACCATGGTAAAATGATTAATTTTAATGAATATAATTAATGTATGAATGCATCGTCACAAATCAAATGGCCCCCAAAATAAAAACATAGTAGGTTTTATGGGGCTAATCAACGTAAATAATGATTTAATAATTAGAAAATAATTATTTCTGCCATAATTATTTTAAAGCACCATTCTACAGAAATTAGTGTTTAAAGAATAATGTTCAAGTGAACAAAATATTGGTAATTCTAACCTTACACTCATAGTTTTTAATAGAATACATCACATCCGGTCGGCCGGTCGCATACGGTCTAGCCGCAGAAGTTCAAATATTTTAACGCATCTGCAGCTCAAATTGGATTCCGAATTTTCTGCATACGCATATGATCGGAACTCCACGCAGCTCCCACACTACTCTCCATTCTAAATGAATGACTTCCGGTCTGTCCCTTGTCATTCGTCAGAGATAGTGGAAAGGCAGCGATGAATTATCAATGTATTTCTGAGGTCATACCATTTGACATGTATACCTAAGAATACCTGACCATACCCTAAAAATGTCAAATTATCTCACATTTTAAAGAGAGTTACTAACCTTTGCATGCAGCAGTTAGTATCACCAGAGATCCTTCTCTGTGATATAATTTTCTGTCACATGATCTTCTTGCAAAATATTAACAAAATGGCTCCTTGAATGGTGGTTACACCACCTTGACATTCAAGGAATTTGACTTGACTCACATAGTTACACCACTTGACATTTCAATTTAAAATCAAATTTGACATGCATTATCATGGACACCGATGTAATTACATGGCCTTGGTGGGAATATTTCAAATGTCATTTTTAAAGTTAATACTCATTTTCATAATAATGATGAATTATCAATGTATTTCTGAGGTCATACCATTTGACATGTATACCTAAGAATACCTGACCATACCCTAAAAACGTCAAATTATCTCACATTTTAAAGAGAGCTACTAACCTTTGCATGCAGCAGTTAGTATCACCAGAGGTCCTTCTCTGTGATATAATTTCCTGTCACATGATCTTCTTGCAAAATATTAACAAAATGGCTCCTTGAATGGTGGTTACACCACCTTGACATTCAAGGAATTTGACTTGACTCACATAATTCCCCAAATTACTTATAATATTCAGAACAATGGTGCTCCATTTACTATTAAATAGTACTAATGTAAGATTATGCCAAACTGATCTGGTGTTTTATTGAGAACTTCACCTTTTTTAAACAAGATCAATTATTTGGAACAAAGTTTTTACGGTTACACCACATTGACATTTTTGCAATCATCCCCCAAATATTTTCTCAAAATGAATTAAAACCAGAAATGTTAGACTTGGTACACAAAAAAAGAGAATGTATGCAATTAATTTGCACGTTGATTTTGACATTTTAACCCCTTTAAATTTAATTAAACCATATGGACACAAAAAAAATAGCGTCACGTCATTGACCCAAACAAGTTAAAACAAAAACTAATTTAAAAGTTTCATATTTTCCTTAAATGCATTTTGAAACGGGTAACATCCTGTATAAACGCAAGACCTCACTAACACGTTTGAAATTATTGGCTAGCTCACAGAAATCAATGTGAATCACCTCATCTTCTTGGTACCCCGACTCGTCCTCCAAAGCCTGGTCCTCTAAAGTTTTCATACTATGGATATGTTTACAAAAAAAAGAGTTTACAATAAAAAAAACATTGTTTTGAAGGCCAGATAACCGTTAAGTACAGTTTGTAAGTATCTATAAATCTTTACATTTGGCTTACATTTTAATCAGCTGCCTGTTAACGTTAACTATGTTAGCCGTCTGTTTCAAAAGAACTTAACGTTAACTCCTGTTGTAACTGTCACATTAACAGTTAGTGTCATGTTCCTCGTAAAGGTGTAAAATAACAATTTTGATAAAAATAAATTAATACAAACGAAGTTTTACCTCACGTTTATCCCTCAGAGAAAGCTGACAGAATCTACTCAAATCAGTGATCTCGCGCTGAGTGACACTTCAGCGCGCGCATTTTTCCCGCGCTCATTAGGTCAGACTGCTGTGTACTGAATGTCACACACATCAAGTTCGAAGTTGCAGCTTTTTTAATGGTTGTGATTGATTTTTAAACTGCAATAAACATATATTTAGGTGGTTTTGTTTTTCTCTGTTTTATCTAAAACCGACCGGTAATTGTATAAAAAAAATGTTTATATAACCCCAAGGTGACAGACTTCGGACATCGTCCCAGAATTTTATTAAAACTATATACTTTTAGATCTGACTAAAACTGTTTTAATACTGTGAAAACATGAAAATCTAAAAAAAGGTTTTTTAACAAACATTTTGTCTCGGTAAACTATGATACCCTAAACAATGAGTTAATCGTAAACATTTCTGCATTTCTTGCGTGGAATAATTTTTTTTTTTTGATAGGACTTTTAAACTGACGTTATTCCTTTTTGTGACGTCATTTCCACCTATGAAAACTGTGTAAAAGGGCAAATAATTATTTTTATGAGGAAATAGTTTTGTCTGGGGGCTTATTTTATTCCTTGCTAACTGTCTATTGATGTTAGTATTAGGTTCAAAAATAGCTATTTTGATCAAATCATCACTGGAGTGTCCAAATGAAATATGACTTTTATTTGCATGAATTTGTGAGGTGCACTTCACTAGTCTGGCTATTCTCAAGTATCAGAAAAAAAGTATATTATGTAATAAAAAGTATAGACGAAAGACAAGGACATTGGAGAACTTGATTTTATTCCTGTCATGTGTAGCAAACATTATTATTGACTAAAGTACAATGTTTTGAAACATTCTTAAATATTTCACAATGGTTCTGCACACTGTATGGCTTTTGTCTGAGGAATAACAATGCAGAAGTGCATTAGTTCTACCTGTAAAGGTGATGATACACGGGGCAACTTTTTGAGCAATGTTGATGAGCAATGTTGCTGTCAACGGGCAACCAGCTGAGACACAGGGCCCACGACCGATCTAAAGTATCCAGATAAAAATGGTTGCCCATTCTCAATAGGTAAGTGCCCAAGCAACATTGCTCAAAAAAGTTGCCCAGTGTATCATCACCTTAAAAGACACTGTTGGCAGAGAACCACCTCTAAAGGTTTGAACATTTATGGATCAAAAAACAAGAAACAACGATAATCTGTTTTCACAATCAATATTGGCCTTGCGTGCCCTCATAAATACTACAGATCTTTTGAACGCTGTTATAGATTCTCTGCACTTCAGTGTTGATCCGGCGTTACAATGGCCAACACTGCACCGTAAACACTCTCTTAGAAATATAATGCACCTACAACAGTCAAAACTTTCCCCAACAGCTGTTATAGTCTCTTTCTGAAAGAAATGTTATTAGATAGCTATAATAAAAAAAAAAGTAAAAGATCAGAGCTTGGACGACAGTCTATGCAGAATGTTTCTGTGAGAAAGGCAGAGAGAGAGGGAAGTTCATAAAAGTCATCAGGGTCTCCATTGTACACAGAAACTATACAAAGTAACGACTTCTTGATGTTGACCAACCACAGCATCTTCCTTTCTCCGGTTCCTGCTCCCTCTCTTTCCCCTTCCCCTTCTTCTTCTACAACTCATGGATGTTACAATATATACATCATCACAGCTTCCCAGGAGCAGGAGGCATCATTCCAGGCATTCCTCCAGACATGCCAGCATTTGGACCCAACAAAATCTATTAAAAGCAGGAAAGGAAAAGGAAATGAGAAATGAATTCGTATTTCAATGAAAAAGACACATAATATGCATGCTTTTCAATAAGGTAAATCACAACATCACAAACTTTGATTTTAAGCAAAAAAGCATTAGAAAATAAGACAAAAAGACACAGGTACAAGACTGTGTACAAAAGAACTACAAATCCTATGAAGCATTGCAAATGACATGCATCCGAATTAAAAACAATGGAATTTTTTTGAAAATATTGAATGTTGTTGCATAAGGAGACTGACCCCGTTACGTCATTAGAAGTGTTTTATGCCAGTGTACAGCACTTTTGGCATTTGCTTTTCATGAGTCTCTGATTGGTGGAGATTTCAAAGCATAATCATGGGTAATGTCGTTTTCCACCATTGAAATTATGCAAGCTGTTATCTTCAACAAATTCATATTCCATCAATGAACAACCTCATGGCTCAAAGTAGATTAAAAGATTTATAAGTTACTGCAAAAAATCTATTTCCTTATGGACTCATCCAATCCGAATTCAGTGTCAGAACAATCTATTTCAATATATCATTAGTACTGTTTTGGGTTTTTTGTTTCAAACACATTTGTTACATAATGTGATGCTGTTTTTGCAGTGATTCCATAAGACTCTTTAATTTGTATTGATAATCTTTTGATATAACATTACCCATACTGTTATAGAAGATTATAGTCATACAGCTCACCTCTATTTAGATAGGTATGAAATTGCAAGGAATTGTTCGTATTTATGCAGGACTTTGGTGCTATTTACCTGTCTCTGCTGTTGTAGCTGTTGCTGTTCCAGCTGTAACCTCTCAGTCTCAAATACAACTGGTAGAACCAGAATCATAAAGGAAGTAGTACCGACCCATAGAGCTGAGCGGGAGAAACTAAAAGAAAGCATAATACGAAAAAAATATACTGAAATGTCCAGATTATTTCTAGAGTTAATGTGACAGTACGGTTTTAAGCGTAAGATACAACTGCCAGCACCTCACCTGTAAAGTTTTTTGGCTACAGATAGCGAACACTGTGCGGATACTTCAGCTGCTGATTGCAGTGATTCTGGAAACATCTCCGTGAGACCCCACAACCTCTCCAACAGTGTTTCATCCAACTGGGAGAGAAGGAAAAAAGTAGGAGCCATGTCAGAAAATTAATTCTCTAAAATTAACACCACCAGTCATTGGTCAAAACAAACTGCCCGAGTCAAAATGGCTTACTCAGGACTCAGTGGAAAACCTTATTCCTCATGTCCAGGTAAGCAGGTACACTGCATTTGACAATCGACGGGTTCTAGTAACAGTGTGCAATATTAAAATATGATATACTTTGTGTATATGAAATATTAAGATTGATATTAAAAGGCAAACACTAATTATTGCCCTTTAATACTAATCTTAACTAGAAATAACAGTAATTTATTTAAAATGAATTATTTATATAAATGGATAATTACTTGTACAAATAATTATTTAAGTGACACTTGTGAAATACAAAGTTAAGATGAAATGTCGTCACTTGCGCAGAATCACTGAAATACAAAACACACACATATATATATATATATATATATATATATATATATATACATACATACATATATATATACATATATATATATACACATATACATATATATATACACATATATACATATACATACATATACATATATATATAACGTTATGCATTTTAATGTATTTTATGCCAGGTTTGACCGGCTAAATAGCTAATACTGGCTATGCAAGCACCAAACAAGCTAATAACTTATAATTTCCTATTTCTTCACAATTTCATAAAGGTCAAGCAAAACTGTAGAAGCAATCAAGTACCTCTTCATCCTCATCATCACCCTCGATCTCGCCTTCGGGGGGTCGTGTCTCCCCACGGCCAGAGTCTGGACAGAGCTCCTGGATCGCGGCCATTTATTAGTTATAGTTATAAATGTTATATTATAATTGTGAAAAGACCTCAGTGATGTTTTAGAGCTTCACAATGACTTACAACCAAAGAGCACGCATTGAAATCTGAGGTCACTTGGGTTACATGTGAGACGGATTTACTTCCCCTGTTCTTGCAAGGAAGCACAAAGACATGTTAGGACACCTATCGACAGGGAGGTCTTACTGCAGGTCATGATTGCGTGCTCGTGACCGTGGACGATGAAATATTGGAAGATTGCTGGTTTTATTAATGTGAAGTGGAAGAGGAACTTAAATTACGTACATATTCACGTCACTTCATACAAAAAAAAAGAGGAAATACGGCTACCGCGCGAGTTTCAGACCGTTGTTTCGAATCAACAGATTGTTTATTTTATTATTTTTATTTATTACATAATACTTTTTTTGCATGAATACTTGGAACAAGCAGTATGTCTTTTCTTAAAAGCTTTCAAGTTAGTGAAAGCTTGAGTTTTATTTCTGGTCACAGTTGTAACTGATGGGAAAGTATTTGTTGTTAAATTTTATGTATAATAAACCATTTCATCTAATTATACTGTATTTCATTTAATGTAAGAGTTTTCAATTACTTATTGAATTAATACTTATTAATTACTTTAAAATAAGCATTAAATATGATCAAATACATTTATAAATATAAAATCAAATACATTGTTTATATTTTGATCACAATATATACGAGAAAGAGTGGTCTTACCTTAATAGCCTTAAAATATTGTATTTATAAAAAGTGACAGCTGTACATATTGTTTTAGGAATGCTGTCTTTTATGGAGCTTTGACAGTGACATCATCTTTTCATTAAATTAAACGCTTCATTGAAATATTTCAATTTACAAATTCAAGTGGCAATAACTTGCATATGAAAACATAACAATTACATATGTACACAATTATATATTTATCTAAAATGTATATAGTCTATTCATGTAATGTGGGACACTGACTAATGTTGGACACCTACGCTTCAGTGCATTTGTCTCTTATTTTACAACATTAAAGTGAACAAGATTGGTGTTGAATTCAAGCAGGGGTGTCAAGCTATTGAAGTAACTTGACTTTCTGAAAATTATGCCATAATTGTGACCATGAAAATCATCAATGAGGAAGTACCTCTTGTGAAGTTCACTCAAAGATCAGTGACTTAGACACAATTAATGATATAAATCTTTTATAAATAAAACAATGTTCTAATTTATTATCAAATTACATTTGTGATGCATTTGTACATGAAATGTTGCAATAATGTTAAGATGTGTTAAGAATATTTCCTATTTAAAGCAATCTTTGTTGTCCCACTTTAGAAAAGGATGTTTCAAAAGTGGGACAGCATGTTTTGATTAATGTGGGACAATCAAATATACTGTTATTCAATTTGGGCTTATAATGCAGCAATATTATTTGTTTAAAAATTAAAAATTTCCCAATTAAAAATTTAGAGACTAGAAGACAATGGGATCCTGAAAAAAGTCCACAACTGGCAAAGACTGCTTATTTCTGTTATGAAATGTTTTATAATTACAATTTGCTTAACACATGCTTTTTGCAATAATGTTAAGATGTGTTAAGAATATTTCCTATTTAAAGCAATCTTTGTTGTCCCACTTTAGAAAAGGATGTTTCAAAAGTGGGACAGCATGTTTTGATTAATGTGGGACAATCAAATATACTGTTATTCAATTTGGGCTTATAATGCAGCAATATTATTTGTTTAAAAATTAAAAATTTCCCAATTAAAAATGTAGAGACTAGAAGACAATGGGATCCTGAAAAAAGTCCACAACTGGCAAGGACTGCTTATTTCTGTTATGAAATGTTTTATCATTACAATTTGCTTAACACATGCTTTTGAAAATACATGTTCCATATTCTTACCAACTATGTGCAGAGTATAGAAGTTTAATATCAGTTTAATATCAGTTTAATATCAGTTTAATATCAGTTGATATCAGTTCAATATCAAGACATTCCATGTTCCAAAGTTTTAATCTTTTTTTATATAGTTTATGAAGTTATTTTGCTATCTTTGTTGAGTCCAATTTTACATTTTTGACTTCATTAGGCTGGTTATTATTATTGTTGCTGCCAGAAATCAGACTTTTTTGTATTGTTTTAAATAGTATGTTATTTCTGTTATATAGTTGTATTTAACATTCCACATGTGAACATATAGGCTACTATAGGTTTTTTTTTTTTTACAAACTGATGGTAACAGCAAACACACTGTAGGCCTACTAAGTTAATTAACCATGGGTATGCACATTTAACCAGGAGTGTTAAATGTGAAGTTTGCTTTGCAAAAATTAAACTATTTCTAACCCAAAACATAATGTCCCAGATTTGAGCATGATATAAGATTTTGATTTATCGTTTTGGCTTCATTATGGAAATAATTTTTGCAAAATTGCAAAAAGTGTCCTACATTAGCTATAGGCCTAGCCTAATCCACCCCACTTAAAAATGAATAGCATGCTAAAACGTAAAATGAAAGATTTAGGCTAGACATTCATTATTGTCCTTAAATACATTTATACTCGTTATGGATGATAGTTTTTATTCATTGGAAATAAACGGCTGTATACATGTAGGCTACTTACACCATGTAAAGATGTTCACGTCAGTCTACACTTTCATTTAGTTGACAATGTGTAAAATACATCATCAACTCTTTTTAAACTCAACTATAAATCTCGGTGGGATTAAATGGGTTAATAAAAAAAGAAGTTTCACAAGGTTGTTGACTGATATTTTGTGTGGTCCCGCCCTCATTCTTGAAGCCTTAAGTCATCGTGTGTGTGTTTTTTATGAATGAAAGGATCCAGCCCGCTGATGGTGGACTGATTCCGGGAAAAAGGCGTTTAGCTCTCTAGTCCGTCTAAACACGGGCCGTGCTGCGATAACGTATGTCAGTCGAAACACCGAACCAGCGGTGAGATTCGTGGACTGATCCATATTTAGCTTCGTGTGAAAACAGCAAAGAAGAGATATCAATACCAGGCAAGATTTTCTTTTTTTTTTCTCTTTTTCGACATTTGTTTACACTAAGGAAACGGAGGGGTGTTAGCAAACCTGCTGTAACGTAACGTTAACGTACATGCACTCAGTGTTCGTTTTAACGTAATATCCACTACGGATACTGTTATGGTTTAGATTTTCTATTAAGATCATTTAGTCGTATTTTATAAATGTTTAATAGTATTAGTCTTCATGAGGGCGAACAGCGTGTTTTTTATCACGATGTTAGGTGTAGCAACAAGCTAACGCGAATAAGGAAATAACGTTAGCTGCTTAACTTGGATGCTGTCGATTCAGACAGTTAAAATATATATTTGTATTAGCATAACCGTATGTATTGTGTTCAGAACTACTCAAAACGTGTAAACATGTATGTTGTTTTCGATCAGAAACGAATATAGTCAGCAAAATAATGGTTTGGTTTGAACAAGTAATATCTTATGTAATAAACGGATTCTTACGTTGTTATAATCCTGTTTTATATATAATTATATATTTGAAAGATTTGTATTAAACTGTCTCGTTGTAAGTAACGCAATACTTATGGAGCATGTCAACCTCAAGACGCTTCAGGGAAAACGACTTGTGTTGTTGTTGATGTTGTTTACTAAACCTGAGTTTTATTTATACCGTTTATGTGTACAGTACGTGATAATATCTGTTGTCACTGAGTAACTGGGACGTTTATAAATGCTGTAAAACACGAAATGCGAAAGGAAAGTAAGGAGCTGCTGTGAAGTCAGGAATGGAGGACTTGTGCTGAATCACTGTGACTCTGTGGAAAAGCTCAGTCGGTTATTTGAGGCAGCAGCAGCTCGCGGATGATAGGCGCACTTAACACGCATGACGGGAAACTCATGGTCAGCAGCGTTCACTTCTGCTTCTGGACTTTGACCAGGTCCAGTCAAGATTCACTGTCAAGAAAAAAAAAGTGCTACTCTTTGGATACGGGAAGCCTAAGTTTAGAAAGATGAAATAAGAACTGGAGGTTTATTGTCTTTAAATGGTCTTTAAAATCTGACCACACAAACCACATTATATATTTATAAACTTTTAGTTCCTGTCTTCTGTCTTCCTTATTCTGTGCTAAAACCCACCTTCCTTTACCAGCTATGACAAAATACACCTGTTCATAGTGGTCAACCGATATTTTTTAATAGTTGATGCAGATATCTTAAACATGTATAATTTACATAGCCTATTTAAGTTAGAAATAATTCATTGGAAAGAAATGAATCCATAAAATAAAACGATTTATACTTCAGATAGAAATTGATTCTGTAATCCTGTTATAGTATTTTCTGGAGATAAAGAAATTGCTCAAATCTGTGCCGATAAAACTGATAGCAAATCATCATAACTGCGCATCTCGCAATGCAGATCGTCGTTATTTCTATTGTATTACATCATTCTCTGTTATTATGTCAGGGTTCTATGCCTTCTAGTGGAAGATGTCACTTGTTAAAATTATTTAATAACAAATTTGAGTCTGTGATATTTGTATTATGCTTTGACTGTTTTATAAAAGCAAGGCACTCAAAGATGTTGCAGTACTGTGAATATAGTCGTTTTGCCGTGCCAACCCGAACAACGGCCTTTAGCTTTGACTACATTCACAATATCGTGACTTACTTTAATAACTTTAGTGACTTACTTCACAATTCCATGCACATTTTCACTTAATTGGTTTATTTGACATTTACAGGTTTCAGAGATACATAAATCCAGAGAATGACTTCAGACAGCAGAGCTAGTAAAGCCCTGAAGGTAAATATCATGTTACTGAATACACTTTTGTGAATTTTGTCACACACAGTTTTTTACAAAAATAGACTGTAAAAATGCTAGCGTAAAACCTGTTAATTGGTTAACTGTCTGTAAGTTACCTTACCATATGTGTCCCTGGACCACAAATCCAGTCTTAAGTCGCTGGGGTATATTTGTAGCAATAGCCAAAAATACATTGTATGGGTCAAAATTATCAATATTTCTTTTATGGCAAAAATCATTAGGAATACTGTCAAATGTATGGTATATTTGCTGGCAACAACTATGAATTGCCACCACTAATCTATAATAGAGGACATTATATAGATCAGTGATTGCCACATAATAAACAGGGAGAAAGGACAGGGAAAGCTTATTTATTCAGCTTTCCGATGAAGTATAAATCTCAATTTCGAAAAATTGACACTTAAGACTGGTTTTGTGGTCCAGGGTCACATATATGACAAGAAACTGTAAATGGTGTACCATCGTTTTATGTAATTTTACTGTAAAATACTGTCAAATGTATGGTATATTTGCTGGCAACAACTATGAATTGCCACCACTGATCTATAATAGAGGACATTATATAGATCAGTGATTGCCACATAATATACAGGGAGAAAGGACATTCCCAAAAGTCATTCCTGACATCAACATCACATGGTTATATTTTATTATTTTCTTATCTTCTCTTTTTTGTTATCAGTAATGTACATTAGGGTGTTTTTCTGTTATTTAGCAAGTGTTAATTGTATTATTTTAGTGTCTGATGGCATTTTGTTTTCGTGTATAGCCCTGTGAACTGTTTAAATAAGGAGTATTGGTCATGTTTTATGGACAGGCCACTTATGATGAACTCTGATTCATCATGTGGCTTTCTATTTTACCATCTCTATTATTATGGTGGTTGTCAATACATTTAGGTAAATAGCATATTTTAGTAAAATAACATTATAGCACTTAAATTTACTGTTGTATGCTGAAAACTATACAGGCATCAATATTCTATCTGGTAATACCTGAAACATTTTACCATATTTTTTACAGTGAATTTTCTGGCAACCATAGTTGCCTGTTTTACAGTAAATGTAACATTTACCAAGAATATTTTTTACAATGCAAATAATGTTCCATTATTTCAGGTGAAGAGGGAATGCGGGGAGAACGTCCCAGTGCTGTCCGACAGTGAGCTCATGTCGCTGTCTGTGCGCGAGCTCAACACGCACTTACGCGGTTTGTCACGCGAGGAAGTGCAGAAGTTGAAGCAGAGGCGGCGCACGTTGAAAAACCGCGGCTACGCGGCGAGCTGTCTGGTAAAGCGCGTGTCCCAGCGTGAAGCCCTGGAGCAGCAGAAGAAGGAGCTGCAGCGGGAGGTGGAGCGGCTGGGGTCCGAGAACGCAGGCATGCGGCGGGAGCTGGAAGGGCTGGGTGCCCGTCTCGCTGCCCTGCAGCGCTTTGCCAGAGGTCTGGAATCCGGAGGAGGCAGTCTGCTGGCCACCACACCCCGTCTGAACACAGCCTCCGTCATTACCATAGTGAAGTCACCGCAGCAGGTGCACACCCCTAGAGAGCAAGGAGCATCCTAGGACACCACGCTCGCATGTATACGCAGACACACATAGGTACACAGTATGATCGCACAGACCAGACCATGTATACTCACATATACAGGAAGAAAAACAAGTACCAGTTGGGAATTACAGATTCACTTAAATATATATAACACACAGAGACTGTATATACAGTCTTATAAATGTCCAAGAATAATCTCAGTACTGTTGTTGTGGCCTCGAATATCATGACAAGTGTATAAGTCTGCACAAGGCTATTGCTAATGATAGCTTTAATGCTATTTATGCCCATTACTGTGCTTTCTGGATGGTGATACATGTTCAAAAAAAATAGTCCTAACAACTTGTCTTCAACATTTCGGAAGCTGGTTAGTTTTGCTGGATTATCTCCATGGTATTAATGAATCATGGGACTAGAGAACGTGCAGATCTATTGATACATGCCATTTATATATTTTAATGTTTGTATAAAAGACAAATGTTCAACAACAGACATAAAAGCTATTTTATTTGTGTTCGAAATAAGATGTTTGAAGGTAATTTGTGCTGTGATTGGTCTAAATACTACTTCTGATCGACTAGTTTGGGGTCATTGTTTTAATTATTGTGTTTTTTTTGTTGTTGTAATGTTTACTTGTTGTAATGAGTAAGTAGTTTAGTAATGGTAAGGTATACAGCCTTATTACCCGTAAATGGTTCAGTACGTGTGAGGGTCATATTTGTACTAATATTAGAGCGACTTGTTTGTAGTGGTATTTTTGTATTTAAAACCAAGACCATTTATATTATTTGCTATTTATGATTAAAACGTATCTGAATATTTTGGACAGCTGGAATATTTAAAAAATTCCATTAGAAGGAAAAGAGAGAGGAAGGGGAATCTGAGGAAGATGTGAAAATAGAGGACAAAGGGGAAGAGAGCAGCCAGAAGGAGAAGTGAGCACTTGCAGCTCACATGGGAGGGGGAAAAAAAGGAGGATAAGAAAGTGACAGAAGGAAAGTGAAAGACAAAAATAATATCACATGTACATCACATTAACCCGTGGTCGTCAGGATGACTTGCCGACTACAAGCCTGGTTTACTTCAGTAAACAGGGTGAAACTGTATGATCAAGTAATGATCGGCCATGTTAAACGTGGATATCTCTGGTGATTTTTTTTTATTAAGTGTAGTTAGCAATGTTATTTTCAGTACTGAGAATCTTACCTGGTAATATCATGTCCCTGACACTTGTGCTTCAGAACAATGTGCTGAACGTTTTGTAAGAGGGCAGAGCTAAAAAAAAAAAACAACAACTGATGTTTGTATTTATTATCTGTATTTTTCTATGGTAAATTCATTGTCTATTTTATATCGTTTAATTGAAATAAATGTTGTATATATTGTATATAGAAATGTGTGTATTCACTGAGTAAAAACTATCGCACAAACGTTTACAGACAACATTCTTTAATGTTTCCAAGGCCAGAGCATCAAGGGAAAAAAATAGAAGCAAAATCTTTGACATAGTAATACATAATGCTCTGTTTAAAATAGCATGATAGTACAAAGAATGTCTTAGTGTAACTTCAAAATATGTTTTTGCAAAATATATATTTTAAACGTAACAGCGATTCCTATGTTACTTTAAACCACTCTCTGAATATTAACATACAGAAATAACTGGCCAAAATGTTCTAGGATATTCGGACTTCTCCTAAATATACAAAACTGCTTGGTGCAAGTTACAATAACGTCAATGTTATTAAAAGAAATCCTCCTCTTATAAAGAATACACTACGAAACACTAACATTATAAGCAGGTAACTATACATACTCGTACTTGGTTCCAGCTGCATTGTGTTTATACTGGCCTCTATTGTACCAATAAAAGTGTAGGACAGTTAATAAGTAACTCCAAAGATGCTATCTAACCAACCGCAAGCTTCAAGCTTGGTCTTTGAGGGCCTAGTGCTATCTGAGAAGGTAAAGCGCAAGTGGCGGATGCTTCTGAAGAATGGGAGAGACTGGTGTGGCTCTCAAAGGATCAGTGATAACTGGCGGGTCCCATAAAGATAAAGGGTGTGAACTGTGAGATATGCCTCCCTCTAGTGGGAAAAAATACCTATTAAAAAGACAGTTCAAAACGGACAATTTTGTCATCATTTACTCACCCACATGGTTGTTCAAACCTGTATGATTTACTTTTGGTGGAAAACAAAAGAAGATATTTTGAAATATGCCTTTGTGTTTCTTTACGAAAGGTTCAATGTTGATTTGGACCCCACTGACTTTCATTGTATGAAGTTCAGAAACAATCCGATTTTTTTTTCTTTTTTGCGTGTTTCACAGAAGAAACACAGTTTTAGAATGACACGAAGGTGAATAAATGACCACAATTGTTATTTTTGGGTGAACTGTCCCTTTAAATTTTCAAATTCTATAAATTTCACATTACCATCAGACAGACAACAGAATACGGATAAGATGATGGTACTTTACTGTTCTTTCTCAGTGAAAGTCTAGCATAAACTAAGAAGCGTAGCCTAAATCTATCTTTTAAACTGCTCAGCAAACCTAGATAGATGCTTTTTCTGCAGTGGTCCAGGATGGTCACACTTTTCTGAAAGCCTGTGCTAATCTGCAACAGGCAAGTAATGTTCCAGCTTTATAATCCAGACCGCCTTAATCTGTAATCTTATCGTGGACCATCAACCTCTCCCCGTCCCTTGATTCATCCGTCAAAACAACAATGGTGTGTTTGAACAGCTGGTATTCCCTCTACCGTCAGTGCGCTCTTTCATTCACCACTGCACTTTAATTCACTTAGGAAGCTATAAACACTGTTGAAACAGAAGGAAAGGTGCACTTGAACTTGTAAATCAAAAACGGTAACATTCCCACCGAATGGGGGCCCTCCAATACACTGCTCTTTATAAATATGCTGGGATGTCCAAACACCCCCTATGTAAAACTACAAGAAGCATAAAAAATACATCAATTCAAATGCTGAAGTGTCAGACCATGTGGGTTTTCAAAATTTGGCTAAAAGTACAGATGAACGTATTATTTAACCCATTCAACATTATCAGATAAAAGCACATCAAGATTTTTCTTTAAAGACTGTTTCAACAACTAAGCAAGTATAAGCAGCTTAATTTCATATTCTACTGCACTTGAACGTAACTACTTGCTTAAGATGGTCCTTTAATAACCTGTTCCTATGTTAACGGAACCTCATCATTACACTACCGTAGCAGTAAACGGTCCCTTACGGAGTACCTATGCTCAGGACGACAGGTGAGCGAGTTAAAACTCATCATCGGAGCTAAGCAGCAGGGTTTTCTCATTGTCCCGAGCACTCACGCAGCTGTGGTTGCGGGATATGGGCGGCGCGGTGACCCCCTGCTCCAGGGTGGACTGTTGGGTGTACTGTTGGTAGGCTGGGGAGAAATTGTGGATGGCATCCTGAACCATATCTCCGGGGTTCATGGTCTCCTTCAAGCTGCTGGAGATGCTCTTCATGGGGGCACAGCGACCTTGAGAAGAACAGAGAACTTAATTAGAGATGGATGATGGCATGAGGGAAGAGACGCTTCAGAGAAAGAGAGGAAAAACACAAGATCGACTTCGCATTTTTAGGTGAACTATCCCTTTAAGAGTTCACTGTCCCTACACTATCAAATAGAGAGGAGATGTGATTTAAGATCAGGAACTGTAGCCTACCGTACTGTCCATATGTAGGAACAGGGCCTTTAGAGTGCAGCATTAAAAGGAGAAACGAAGAAAAGATGGAAAGGGGCGGAAGGGTGGATGTGTTGCATGGGATGAGCAAATAAAATGAAGAGAATTTGAAAGCAAGATGTGCAAAGATAAATAAATAATTGTAAAAAATGCATTGAAAGAACAAATAACAATGAATGGATTGAGGAATTAATAATTTACAGAAGAAAAGCAGAAGAAAAAAGAGAGAGTCAGCCATGACATCAGACCCATTATGATTGTGACAAAATGTTAAGAGAGAATGACTGTTCTTGAAATTTCGATAAACCATTCCTTGATTAGGGTAAAAAAAAGTAAGGGGTCTGTAAGTTTTTTACTTTTGAAATACATACTTTTATTCAGCAAGGATCGGTTAAAATAATCAATAGTAACATTAAAGCATTTATAATGTAAAAAAATATATATTTAAAAAAAACGTTCTATTTATCAAAAGGTCCTGAAACAATTATTTCCACAAAAATATTAAGCAGCAAAACTGTTTTCAACAAATGATCATGTGACACTAAAGACTGGAGTAATGGCTGCTAAAAATTCATTTTCGCCATCATAGGAATAAATTGCATTTAAAAATATAATAAAATAGAAAAAAATTTTTTTAATTGTAATAATATTTCATAATAATACTGTTTTTACTGTTATTACTTAAAAAAACAAAAAAACATTTATTAAATAAATGCAGCCTTCTTTCAAAAACTTTAAAAAACTTACCGACCCCAAACTTTTTAACTGTAGTGTAAACTACTTTTTTAACATTGTTTTAAATATAATGGAGGAAAAAACATATGCCATTTGTTCATGAACAAAGAAACAAAGGTCTAAAGCTCACCAAGGGAATCCAGTCTTTTGTCCATGTAGACCTTGTAGGTAAACGCATGTCGCAGGGCCAAGGCGGCAAAGAACATCTCGATGCAAATGATGAAGTTCTGGTATCCAGCTGCAACGGTTCCCTCACCCACAGAAACCTCAGGAGAGCTAATCTGAGGAATCGCACCACATTTCTCCAAGATGGCCAGCAGCATGCCTGGAAGACCGGCAAGATCACAGTTTACCAACAGCTTTAAATAGTTAAAAAGTCAACATGAAACTGCATTCACAATACACAATGCATTTCAGAGAATATTCAACAAGAAGAAAAAAAGCAGGACTTAGTTTTATCCATGAAGAACTGACATTACATACAGAAGACAAAAACAATAATTGGGCAACATAAACACCTATTGACGTCAACTGAAAAAAAAAAGTTATTTGAGGGGTGGAGCAGGTTTTGATGAATAATATGATTAAGATTTTTTTGTTTTTAGAATAATGTAGACTGATGAAATGTGCACAGTAAGACTCAGGCCGTGTTTTAATCTAAACGGGGTCAATTTCGATTTCATGTTGACTTTAATATTTCTTTAGCAGTAGATCTTACCTTGCCAGAAGGAGAGGAAGATGACCGATTTGACCATGAAGAACTTGAGCATTGGCCTGTAGGGGCTGAGGAGGTCTCGGGTGGCGAAGTAGAACAGGAAAAGAGCGTAGAGAGACAGGCTGACTGAGATGTTGTAGATGATGGTCACGTACAGGTAACCACTAGCGACACTGTGGGATCCGAAACATAATTCTAAAATCAACAATTCAGTTTTGAAACTTTAAATCTGGAGTATTAGGGTAAATCATAGCCACAGATCAGACATCACATGAGAAGCACATACTTGAAATCCCCATCACGGTATTTCCCAAAGGCCTGCAGGATGACCGTAATCATGGCCATCAGGGGTTTTATTACACAGAACTGTAAAGTGGCCTGCGAAATGAATAAACAAACAAATTACTCAAAAAAATATCTGAAAACATAAACATAAATAGGAACAAGGATTCCTCAAGGTGATCAAAAAGCAAACCTGTTTGCAAAATCGAAGGAAGCCAATGGAGTAGGTCTTGCCCCAAAGACAACATGTTCCGTAAATACAGCTGGACCTACAGCAAAACAAGATCGGTTTCACATAAATATATAAGGTGTGTTTACACTTGTAGTTCAGTTCCTTTGGTTCGGACCAAAAAGAAAATGATACATTTAGACCTGGTTCGCTTAGCGTTCACATTGTCATTTTTAACACAAACCTAAAGATACAAAACAAAAGGCATAAGGATACGGTCGCATTCTGCGTGCTGGGCTAAATGCGTTTGTTTCATGTGTGTACATGCAGTTTCTAAAATATGTAAAGGAGTCAAAACAGTGGCAGGAGGTCTCAGCCTCGGCCCACCAAAGTTTGAATGGCAGCGTTCACACTTCTTCAAATGAGCCACACTAACAGAGCAATTGCAGTTCATTTTAATTGAACCAAACCTGCCAAAGTATAAACACGTCCTTAACAAATACACCTGCAGTCTCATCAAACATCAATAAGAGCATTGATTTGAGGAATGCATTGAAAAATTCTCACACAAAAGAATGACTGGAATATGACACTCACTCAATAGGTTTTCCTCTGATCTCAGCCATGATAGCGCTCTCTCCTCCAAGGTATTCATAACACAGGCTCAAGAAGTTATAGATCACAAATGCTGCAAAAAAGATGGATTGAATTAGCACTGAAATTATATCTTTATTTTACGTGGGTGATACAAAAACAGAGATTCAAGTCTGGCGATTTCTTTTGAGTCTTCTCATAAAAACACATTTGGTAGTAAACCTCAATAATTTAATCTCATACTGTGGCACTGGCAGTCAAGCACAGGAGACCTTTCTGACTAAATCCCATCATCATCAGTGTTTTACCAAACACCTACAAAAGACTTTTGCTAAACAATACAGTGGTGCATGGCAAAATATCCCTCGTGATGGTCTGGCCATGCCACACAAAAAAATTGCAATACCAGAATCCTTCATCCTTTGAGTACACCATATGCTTTTCTACACCAGAGATTATAGGACGCCCACAAAAATTACATAGATTTTCAGCAGTCTTGTCATTTTTACCAGTCGTTTTCTCCATAAGGATTTCAGAAACTTCTTCAATGAAGAATTCTAAGGCAGTGTTTCCCAACCTTTCTTTAGTCGCGGCACCCTTTGGAAATTTTAACAAATTTGTGGCACCCTACAAAATTAATTTTGTCACAATATTTGAATTTCTAACTTCGATATGATACTTTGAAAGTATAGATATTCGGTACAACAGGGAAGAACTGCAGAATATAATGTCATACAGATATTTTTAATATTATAAAAAAAAAATTGTCCATCAATGGTGGCAATCAGTAGGCTAATTTCTAATGAAAAGACCAATTTATATGACAGATTTTAATGTAGGCTTTTATACATATGTAAACATTATTTAATTACCACACTGTAAAACCCGACAAGTTAGGTTAACTCAAACCGTTTGAGGAAACCGATTGCCTTAAACCATTTAAGTTTTGAAACCAATACATATGAGTACTGCTAACTTTAAAATATAAGTGCACATGACTCAATATTTATGTGTTGATTTAGTCAATAAATCAGAGTACTGGTAACTTCAAAGTTTTAAGTTCAGTAAACAAACCTTATGAGTTCAATTAATAAAATCTAATTGAGTTCAAACAACTTAACTCAGTTCAAATAGCTACTCAAATGGTTTAAGGAAACCGATTGCCTTAAATGGTTTAAGTTGACTGAACTCACATTAATAAAGTTACATAAGACTAAGCAAAAACTAACATTTGTATAAAGCAATGAGGACAGGACAAGGTTATTTTGAATAGTATTTATTGAAATAAAACATTTATTTCACTCAAAGTTTATCAACATGTGGGCTGTGCAGCACAACAAAATACAATATTAAAACAATGTTATCAAAAATAAAATTTTCCATGGCACACGCATAGAGCGGGATAATACGCAGAGCGTCACACCGTGTGAAAGTGAAACCTGAGCAGTGAACTAATTTTCGGCAGCCGGAATTTCAGTGCATCTCTAATTATTGGCGACATCAGAAATGGATATTATATCATAGCTGCTTTTATGAACATTTTAGCAATTTAAAAATATTAAAAAAGGATTTTTTTTACACGGCACCCCTGCTCTCGACAGACGGCACCCCGGTTGGGAAACACTGTTCTAAGGCATGAACCGAACCAACCAGATCCAAGATGAATCACACCATTACGAACTTTGATTTGATGTAATAAAGTACACAACCCTTCAAACGTTTGGGGAGATGAGACGATTTTTGAAAGATGTCTCTTATTTATTAGAAATACAGTAAAAACAGTAATATTGTAAAATATCATTACAATTTAAAATAACTGCTTTCTATTTGAATATATTTGATTACTGTGTACATTTATTTTAAGTAGAAGTATATTACATTATATTACAACATTATAAATGTCTTTTTCTGTCAATTTTGATCAATTTAACACATCCTATCTGAATAAAAGAATAAATTTCTTTAAAAAAAAATAACCTAGCCAGCTACTTTAAGCAATTTTTTAATGTAAATTATAATAATAATTTTTTGTTGTTTTCATTATCAAGTGTGGATCAAATTCACAAAAGTACTGTTATGAAACATTCCAATGTTATAATCTAAAATCTTTATCTTTATGTACTGTAGAAAATGAACAGGATTTTCACTTCCAGAACCTAACTGTTGCACTCTATAAAATCACGCAAAACAGTCTGAAACTTGGTTCCCAGCATCCCCAGTGGGTGTTAATTTGTCCTCCTCCCATGCTCTGTGGAGTAGTGTATGTGTGGCAGTGGAGGTTGGAGCTCAGCTCTATATATAGCATGTGCACCCAGCAGCCACAGCTGCTCTTTGCTGCTGCTGCTGAGTCGAGAGACAGACAGCAGTGCAGCTGAAGGTCTAGTTAGTGTGAATGACAGTTTACCGAACCCTCCCCCCTCCAAACACATGGAACACATTTTTATATTTTTCCGTATTCACTTTAATTTTAGTTTTTTTGTAATTTTGTTGTGTTCCATTTTTATTCCATTTTTTGTTGCTTTGCAGCCTCAATTTTTTTGTTTTATTCAGCTGTATTTACTCAGTGCTACTTATAACATCCAAGTGAAAGACAGAACACCAACATAGTTAGTAGAGGCATATTCCAACAGACTAAAGGCTGTAATTAAAGCAAAAGGTGGTTCAACAAAATACTGACACAAGGGGGTGATCCGTTTTCCAACTCAGTGATTCTGTTTTTATTTTTTTCCTGACATGTTGTGGTGTTATATCTTTCACTTGGATGTTATAAGTTGCACTGAGTAAATATATATAGTTTAGGTTTTACTTACAAAAATAAGAAATTTGGCATTGGCAGCTAGCCGAAATAAAATTTTGCTTTAAAATGTCGTTTTAAGTTTAAGTTTGTTTTTTTTATATATATTAAGTTTCAGTTAATGTTTAAGTAATGAAAATGATTTTAGCTTTAGTTCAATAGTAACCCTGCACTGTACTAGTCTGGTGTCAAACGAGCACCTGGATTATTAGTTTATCCATGTGCATCCGCTCCACTTATGTGCGATAAACACGGTTACTACGCAACAATTGCTTCTGGAAATCCCAGCTGACTACAGATCCAGAGAGCTGCTCTAGCAGGAGACGGCTATTAAACAGGCCGCAAAGGTGTCGTGTTTAAAGCTGAAAAGAAAGCCTACCCTCATAGCAATCCCTGACTGTGTCGAAGTACACATAGTACTGGTCATTGGTAAAGAAGAGAAGGCTGAGCCAGGAGTCAAAGGCGTAGATGGGTACGATGAAAAGGATGCGCACTATGTGCCTCTGCTCCTTGGGAGAGCTGTAGTAACGCAAATGCAAGTAGATCTGCAAAAAACAAAGACAAACACATTGAAATACACTGATTGAGTTTTGATTCTCAGGCCCAGCTGGTTTAGGGGTTGTTTACCTGGTGGCAGGTGAGTAGAAGTGCCGTCCACACAAAGAAGCCTGACACTGCCTGGGCCGCAGTCGTCATGAGGAAAATGGGCTGCTCTGGAGTGAGCAGAGGAGCTTCTGGGAGCCAGGAGATGTTGGGCCCAGTAGGGGCCATTGTGGCTAGCGAACCAGGAGCCATCCCGACAACTTCCTCCCCAAAATGAACAGACAATGGCACGTCACGTCTCAGAAGCTGTGGCAATAGAGATTGGGATGTTAAAATCAGTGGGGATCAAACATGCTGAAGAAGGGTGTGTAAAGTAGAAATGTGATGCCATGAAAACGAATCAGAGGAAAGGAAAGAGGAGTGTGAAACAGTATTCGTGAAACACCACGAATCATTTCACAGTAAGATGGTGCAAGATAATGTGGGCAAGCAAAGAAATGAAACTAAATTCAGCCAGAGATTAAAGTCGCAATGAAACGGAAGTAGTAACAGATCTTTTCTTGATATTGTGATGCACATCCGGGTAAAATGGGTAAATGAAAAAAATAGCAGGGTGGGGACTTGGTTCTAACCATCATTTGTTGATTGGATGGAGGCAAATCTGAATGCGAATTTGAGGTCAATTGTAAGAAAGGGTCAGGGTTTAAGCAGACTAAACAATTGTAGAAGTCTGGCAAACATCACCAGAGAGAAGTCTATGGTTTCACTGGAAGATTGAGTTATAATATTTTGACTAAAAATTAAGAGTTCAACTTTTTCATGAAACATATGCATGGATGAATCATTCACCATAGGATTAATAATATGCATTTAGAAAATAGATAGATTGAATTTTCATTTCATGCTGACTTCAATGAAATGGCATGAATATTTTTAGCTAATAATTTTCTAGACATGTTCTACAATTATTTGCACTGACTGTATGAAAACTAGTTGCACATCTGTTTACTTCGAATTTCAGAATGTTAATTTCTAAAATACTTGAAACAAAAATTAAGGCGTGTGGCAGTTTTCAGACATGAATAAGGGTCACACTGTACAGAAGCACTAACTGTAACTAAAACTTAAAAAAGGGTCAAGGACAAATTAGGTTTGCAGAAATTGTGGATTTAATTTTTCTATTTACAAAGTATGAAGAACGGGAAATTATGTTGAGCCATATGTCACAGCATCTTAGTGTGTATCTCATCTTATTAAAAGTGGCCATCTTCACCGTTTACACCAACTTAAAGCTAAAGTCATGGTTTTTTTACCAGGTACTTTAATGTTTGGTCATATTTACTCACTCTAATGTTGTTGAAACCTGTATAACGTTCTTTACTTTTGTGTTCTCTGGAAGACAAAAGTAGATGTTATGACATTCTGAGAAAAGACACAATGGTCAACTCTGACTGGCGAGGAAAAAAAAAAAAGTCATACAGGTCTGAATCAACATAAGGGGTCAGTAAATTACACAGTTTTAATTGTTGGGTGAACCGTAAATCATATTTTGAATGCATTCAGCGTTCACTTTTCGTGTTAAACAAAGTAGATGTTATGACATTCTGAGAAAAGACACAATGGTCAACTCTGACTGGCGAGGAAAAAAAAAAAGTCATACAGGTCTGAATCAACATAAGGGGTCAGTAAATTACAGAGTTTTAATTGTTGGGTGAACCGTAAATCATATTTTGAATGCATTCAGCGTTCACTTTTCGTGTTAAACGTTGACCTTATTTGGAATAGCATCATAAATTTAGTTGGGTCACATAGTCGAAGTTCGCCCTAAAATTAGTAAGGAAACAAAATATCTACAGACTAGATAAACAAGCAACTTACCAATAACATAAACGTAGATTTAAAACCATTCGCCGTGCACAAAGGAAAACAAACGAGAAGCAATTCGGCCTTAATTCTTCAAAGCCATCGCTTCTGCCCGTCATCCATGTTTATATTCCAGCGTCGTTGATATCTGCTGGAAAATCTGCGCTCCGTCCTTTTATATTTGTTCCCATGTAGTAATTCACCACGTCTTTAAACCGCTTACAGTGTATTCACGACTGTTCTAAAGAACTTTATGTACAGTTTTAGGTGGACTGCTGTTGAAAGGCAGTTCCTTATTCTCCCCTTGCTGTTGAATAAAATCTCTTGCGGATTAGATTAACGGGGATAAAAGTGGAAAGCGGCTGTGAAGTCTGCTACAACAAGACGCGGCTTTTTTTCTAAAATGGGCTGTAGCTTTAGAAACTTCAAAATAAAAGTCATTAATCCAGTGACGCAATTTACAGTAACTAATGAATTTTTAAGAATTATGTAATACTGAACGTCGTTTGCTAGAATTATACAGATAAATAAAAATAAATACCTCGTATTTTTTAATAAATAGTATTTACTCATTTAATCCAAATGTATTCCTAACTGAATGAGCTCATGTACATTATTCCTAAAAAAGGAACGTCTTTTTTTTTTATTGTATGTCAGAATTCCTCAGTTGCTCAATAAGTCTCGATTGAAAGTTGCAAACTTGCAAATTTGTATTAGTAATTAAGATTGTATTTATTTACTTACTATAAGGCAGTTGTTGGGAAAAGGGAATTATAATCCAAGAATAGATGCATAAATATGTTTTTTGTTTTTCTTTTACTTAGTTTCATTTCATGCAACAACAGTTTGAAATGTAGTTTTATGTGAATCAATTCAGTTACAAAATGTGTCTGTTTCCCCACTTTTCACGTTTACGTACATGTAAAGTGTTGCATACAACTGTTTTTTCAATGTTTACATTGTATTGTGATCTTGATTTATAAGACAGTTTTAATCATCGATTAATAATCCTTTCAAAGTGGTAAACTGGAATTAAACACCTTTAGTCATGAGTTATTACACCAGCTGTGCAAAAATGCTTAGTGTTTAAAATAATTAAATAAGTTCACAAGGTTCAGTAAGCTGAAACAATTATACTGTTGATATGTGTGTTTATTTATAAATGAGGTTGTCATGGCTAATGTCAATTTACACCACATTGTTCAGCTGTGTAATTGTAAGAGTGGAATTCAGGCCTTTAATAATGTTCAAATTGATCTTTAGGTTAGTTCACTACAGCCCATATTTATATCAATATCTCCAACAATTCAAATGTCATCTGTTCAATGTGCAATCTTAAATATCCATTCAGTGTTGTCTACAGCACAAACACCAGTTTGGCTGGAAACAACATTCTTGGAAATTCTTAACTTTTGCGTATTTCATACTTAACATGGAAAAGATGGTTCCACGAAACCTCATACATCAGTAAGGTGTCAACATACAACACTTTTTGTGCAAGGATACATTTGTTACACTCTATCAATATTCCATTTTAACTTTACAGTCCAACAAGCAAGTCCTTCTTTTTCCCGGCATTTCAGACAAAACAGAGAACAACCAGAACCTTCATCAGGCCGCAGGTAAAAATTCTCTTTTCCACTTCCACTGTTTGAGCCTTGAGTCTTGCGATCCTCATTAAACTGCATCTATCCACTGTCCACATGCATCTGTATCTTCAATGTCTCATTCCAACAGCAACAACCTGCAGTGCGTGAGGACGGGGGAGCACTTTGTCCATTACAAAAATGTGGTTCCTTTCTTCTTGCCTCTGTCACACTCCCATTTTACATAGAAAGATGAATATAAATGCTTTAGGGGAGTTGTCTGTTGTAATCCTGCAAAATGAAGCAAATGTAAACAATTTAGCAACAAGTTAATTATATTAGAATGTTTTTACTTTTCATATACTGAAACCTATTTATTATGCAGTATAGTAGCTGAGTCAAATAAGCAGGTTCAAGATAAAGAAAAATCTAACATATACTATCATTAAAATGTGGAGATTTTTACATGTTTTTGAAAGAAGCCTATTTATTTGATCACAAATACAGTAAAAACAGTACTATAGTGAAATATTATTTAAAATAACTTTTCAGTTTTAATTTATTTTAAAATGTAATTTATTCCTGGCAAAGCTTAACTTTCAGCAACCATTACTCCAGTCTTCAGTGTCACATGATCCTTCAGAAATTATTCTAATGCTGATTTGGTGCTCAAGAAACATTTCTTATTATTATTAATGTTGAAGACAGTTGTGCTTCTTAATATTTTGTGGAAACCGTGATACTTTAAAAAAAAAAATTCTTTGAATAGTAAGTTCAAAAGAACAGAACATGAAATAAAACTTTTGTAACATTATATATCTTTACTGTCACTTTTGATCAATTGAATGCATCTTTAATGAATATTTAATCATGAATTATTAATTCATAAATATCAAAACTTTTAGGGGGTTGTATCACTGAACTAACCATCCCTAACCCTATTCTAACCGTCATAAAATGTCACATTGATAGACATATTGAACTTGACAAACAATTATGAGGATCTGCAGGGGTCATCTCTCTGATGTAATTTCCTGTTTTATGTTTTTTTTTCTCTCCACACGTTTCTGTATGTTGGTCGTACCATATCACTTTGATCTGGTGGACAATTTTTTTATATTTATATAATTAAATTATAACTGCCTTACTGATATTTTTAAGAAATAATAAGAGATTTTGCCAAAAACTTAAATGTTTTTTTTCTTTATTATGATATCTGGACAGTTGTATCTCCCTGACATAACATAACGCTCAAAAATATCCAGATTAATTTTAAAATTCAGAAATTAAAACCATGCACATCATAGAAGAGGTGTATTGTGTGTATGAGAAGTCATTATGTGTATGAATTGCATTTCAATGCATTTGTGGATAAACGAAAAGATCCACACAAAAAATCACTAACCTCCTAAAAACAGTAAATGACAGAGAACTTGCAGAGCTCATTTCCCCATGTGTTCGAATGGAACGCTGACCTGTGTGAGAGAGACAGAGAAAGGTCAGAACAAAAACAAATATCAGGGAATTAAGCAAAGAACCAGTACGTGAATGGAAACCTGTGGGGGAGTTATGCGGATCTGATCGTGACGGAGAGGGAGGTCAGGGGAGGCATTGGCAGGAGCACCGCGGTGCAGCCGTAAACACACTCTCCTTTCCCGCTCAGCTCCTCGGCCTGCTCTTGGAGATCCGTTCCCTGAGAGACAAATCAACAGGTAAGTTGTAAGTGTTGATTTCAATAACCAACAGCACAGAAGGTCAGGCGGGTGTGGTTTAATAAGGAAGAGAAACCACATACTTCATAAATAACCTGCTCATAAATAGAACAGACATCAATAACACCTCCGGTCATCCTCAGACTCACCAGACTGTGGCACACGGGAGGCAGGTGTTGAGCTGGCGGGGTCTGGGCCGTTGCGCACCCTGTTAGGGGCCGGGAGGTTGGGGCCAGAAGGCACAGCATGAGCCGCAGAACCCGGCGGTCCACCTCCGGTCCTCTCATCCCTCTCCTCTCCCTCTCCCCTCTGCTCCTTCTCTTTATCTTCTGCTGTCCTGCTGGAGCCCTGACACAGTCAGAAAAACCCACAAAGTGAGCAATATAATGCACATTTGAACCACACTGCAATAAATAATGCAAAATGTTTAAAAAGCATACAAATTTCAGCATGTTCCAGTCAAACACATAGTCGTATGAAAATCCCTGTCTGTGGAAAAGATTCCTGAACAGCTGTCTCAGGTAGGAGTAGTCAGGTTTGTCATCAAACCGGAGAGAGCGGCAGAAGTTCATGTAGGTTGAAAATTCGGCTGGAGATGTATTAAAAAAAGAGATTAGAGTTAAATGAGAAATTTAATTTCATATGATTTTCTAGCTGATCAAGTCGCATCAACTCACATGGATAGCCCTTGCAAAGAACCTCAATGGGGGTTGACATCTTTTTCTCACTGATTCGCTCATACTTTTGTCTTTTTGTGGCCGCTTTAAGGCCTTGCCAAGGCAGAGAACCCAAGTTAAAATACATAAGAACATAGCCAAGGGACTCGAGATCATCCCGTCGAGATTGCTCTGTGGAAACAAGGTAAATTTAGAATAACCCAAAATAAAGAGTCAATTTTTATGAACAGAATGCATTTCAGTGGCCCTCTGGTGCCCTTACCAATGCCCAAGTGAGTGTTAATGGAGGCATAGCGGGCAGTACCAGTCAAGTTCTTATTCTCACGATACGGGATGTGCTGATGTGTGCGGGCGTCACGATACTTCTTGGCCAAGCCAAAGTCTATGATGTAGACCAGGTTTCCCTTCTTGCCAAGCCCCATCAGGAAATTATCAGGTTTAATGTCTCTGTGAATGAAGTTCTTGGAGTGAATGTACTCGATTCGGCTAATCTGGAAAGAATAAACAAGAAACAAATTTAAAACGATTGTCTCAAATGTATAATATCTATATTTATTTACATTTTTACTAATTCAATTTTTCCTGGGTTAATATGATGTTTTAGCACTACATATTTACAATCTGTTTTATTGAGGAGATTTTATATAGCTTTTCTTATGAATATTCCCTTCCATTACATAAGTAAAAAAATTTAATTCTGCAGCCAGGCTATTCAAACGATAATATATGACTATATAACTTTCTATAAACTTATATAAATTTTATATTGTCTTTTTATATAGTAAAAACTTGCATTTACGACCCTAGAATTTATTTATGAAGATAGAATTCATTTATGAAGACAGTTGCCATGGCATTGCTATAAAATTGCTATGATATTTTTGGAGTTTTGAGTGTGTTACTATGCGGTGTTCTGGGTGGTTGTTTACAAATCTTTATGATATTCCGATCCCTAGATATGGCTCAGGTCCCTCTTTCAATATAAAGCTATAGGATTTTTGCCCATTTTCTCCACCAAGTCTTATCACTTACAAAAGTAATACAACGCTCCCCTCGATAAGACACAAAGTGTCGTGTCTGTAGCAAAAAGAGTGTAAGACAAGGGGTTGTTAAAATAACTAACCCTAAGTATGAGCAATAATATCTTGTTTATATACTTTCAATGCAATTACCATCTGGTCTGCCAGCAGGAGGACTGTTTTAAGTGTGAATTTCCTTGAGCAGAAGTTGAACAGGTCTTCCAAGCTTGGACCCAGGAGCTCCATCACCATGACATTGTAGTCCCCTTCAGCACCACACCATTTGATTGAGGGAATACCCACTAAGGTTGAAAGAGGATTGAAGAGACATGTCTAGAAACCCATTCGCAGCATCAAAAAGAAAACCGAAGGAAATCAGTTCTCACCTCCACCTTG